CCAAGAAAGTTAATCCATCTTTTGTTTTGGACCAGCAACCTCAATTTTTTATCGTACATCTCGAAGGTCCAAAGGCTGTAAATAGATGATAAATGACAAGTGGAAACGGGTGAATACATTGCCCATATTAAATCTAATTTAACATAAGGGAAAAAAGTTGCACCTTCACAAGATATGGAACCATCTCCTCTATAGTGCACGCCCTTCACAATGGGGCATTCGCATACTCTTTCCCTGAATGTGTCCTGAACAAATTCAACATCCCTTTTCATTAGCAGGATTTGTGGAGGTAAACTCTCGCATATTTGATTGCAACATCGAACCGTGTAAACTTTCTATACTTTACCCTGCATGTTGTTATGTTGGCTCGTTTATCCTGCTAACATCCACCATTTCTTTCAAGGCACTCATTAGTTTGAACAACTGTTAAAATAACATGAAGTCAATATTAAATAAGAGTGTAAACCGAATTTAGAATGTAAGCAGATCGAATATACCTGCACTTAAACAAACCGAAGGTTTCATAGTCTTGTAACATCCTCAATATTGGGTTAGTGACCAAATTGTAAAATTTCAGGAATTGGTGATTAAAGTGGGATAATTGAATAGTTCAATGATTTATTGGAAATATGATGAAGGTTATTTAGTAATTATTGAATGAAGTCAAGGGTAAAATAGTCATTTGACATGGAAGATTTTTATTTCCCTTTATTAGATAAGGAAGCCCACGTGGAAGAGAAAAGAAGGCAAAATAAACTTCCAGAGTTTTCTTCTTCTTCTTCAGCCGTGAGTCACCATGGTAAAGGTGAGTTTTGTGGTTAGTTGATTATTTGTTGAAATAAAAGTTGGTTTATGATTATTAGATGATAACTAAGCTTAAGGAAAGCTTAAGTTATCTTAAAATCAAAGTATGATAGAGTTAGGAGGGATTAAAGATTTGAGGTTCTTGGGTGAAATCTTGAAATAGAGTTTATAACTAGAGTTGGAAGTTAAATTTGACTTGTCAATGGTCTAATTAAGAAGTTAGAAGCCATAGAATTAGAATTAAAACATATTGCAAAGTTGGTTTAATTCTTGAGTTACATATGAGGAATAGAATTTTGAAGTTAAAGATGGTTTATATGGATATAAATTGGTTTAAGCATGTGTATATGAATTAAGAACATGAAAGGGGATGAAAGATGAAGTATTTGAGTTGATTTGAGTGGATTTGTGGGCTTAAAAATGAATTATGGGCTATGTGCACCGATGCATCAAGGGTAAATTTCCAGAAATTGTTCAGTGTGTATCGATGCACCCCTTAAAAATGGAAACATCGAATGCAATTAATGCATCGATGCATAAGGAGTGCATGCATCGATGCACATGTTAAGGGATGCATCGATGCACATGTTAAGGGATGCATCGATACACTGTAGAATGCATCGATGCACTTCAAGGGGAAATTGAAATAGACATTTCTTTTGGTCTAAGAAATGATAGATTAGAGTATATCAATTAAATACTGATATGTATCAATGTATGATTATGTAGATATCGAACATGAATAAGTTCCAGAACGATTAACAAGTTAAGATTCGATCGAAATTGAGGAAATCATAAAAGTGGATTGGAACTTAGTAAGGCCAAGGTGAGTACATATTATTAGATTGTGCATATTATTATATGGAAATTAGACTTGTGATAAGTCTGTTTCCAATATTTTATGTTTGCATGAATAGAAGCATGATTAAGTTTGTATTATGTGTATATGCTTTGTTCATATTATATGTTATGAGATGTGAATTTATATGATATAGGTTATATGGGAACAAAATATGTAACTATATGTGAACCTTATGAGCTGTATGAATATGTGAAATAAGTTATAAGGGCACGAATCATGTATAATAGTAAATGTTGTATGTGATAACCATAGAAAGAAAATAAGTTAAGTGATCATGAACATGTAAATATATGTTTAGATGAAGATATAATAGCAAAACATAAATTACATGAGTCAAGTTTATGGAAACTATTATAATTTACTTATAGTATTAAATGAAAAGTGAGATAAACTAACTAGCATTGATTTATAGGACAACGTGAAAATAGAATATCAATTAGGAGATTTGTACATAAATAATGATAATCATATGAGAGATAAGTTGTATGAGAAAGATTTATGTGCTTAGATGAGCTATGATATAGAAATTACATGGTAAAGATCTATGAAGTCATAGGAAAAGGTTATAAGAGTAATGTAAACTTGAATTAAGAGAATATAAGAATTTTGTATATAAATGAATTTATATAAGTGATATATGTTAGTATGCTACAATATATGTTATAGGATCTATGTAAGCATAAGAGAACAAAATATGAGCTAGGGGTTATGAATATAAATGATGATATGCTTATGTACAATAAATTAGGAATTATGATCTAGGTGTTTATAGGTCTATAAAAAGATATAAGAACAATATATATAAGCTACGAAATAGGAACTGTGGGATTTTAGTGTTATATAACATTATCTATGTTATTAAGTACAAATGTGATATCCATATATGACAATGATTTGTGAAATTGTATGAAAATGGGATATGATCTACGGGATAATAAATTATATGAATTATATGGAAGTGATTTGTGTGTACATGTCTGATATGTCTTACATGATATGTAAGATTTCACAAGAAATGACATGAGTTATGTGATTACATGATTATAAGAGATCAGACATGTGATAAGAGATAAGTGTTATGAATGTGTGAATATGAAATGACATAGATAATAATGCCCATGTTATGTGTCATTAGAGCTAGGGGTATAGTTGGCATGCTAAGAGTCGAGGGTCTACGCGGTCCTTCAGGACATATATGTATTCCTTGGAACATGTGTGATGTCTTTTGAGACACATACTTGATCCTTTGTATATGTATATGATTCTTAAGGAATTTTCTACGTGGTCCTTAGGGACATTTTATATGGCACTTCGGTGCAATTCTACGCGGCACTTCGGTGCAATTCTACGTGGCACTTACGTGCATTTATACGAACTATAGTGACAACATTTGTGCACAACCTCTATAGACTCACATATCTATAGTTCTCACATATGTACATGGGCTAATAAAGAAATAACAACAAACATATTACATGTGACTTTTATGCTTTTATGCTATGAATTGTATTATATGATTTATATGATTAAATGTGGATTTTATGATTAAATGAGTAAAATATTGGTTAAAATGCTAGGTATAAGAGAATATGTATGAAGTGAGATAAATAATAATGATATTGATAATGAAATGAGGCTAATGATGGAAATGATGAGTATATGTGTGTATATATGTTCTTACATGTAATGATATATTGCATATGTGTTATAGGGATTTGTTACATGATTAAGGGTATGAGTGATAGCAGTGATAGTTCATGCATGATTACAAGTTATAGTTTACATTATATATTTAATTGCCTCACTAAGTCATAGACTTAGCGTGTGATTGTTTCACACGTAGGTTACAGAAGTGAGAAGAAAAGTGAAGAAGAGCAAAACAGGTCAGCATCTCCCTTACAAAGATTTCAGATCAGAAAATAGATGATTAAATGTGTTTGGTTAATTTGAATATAGTTGGCATGTACTAATTGATTGAGTTGAATATGTTCTGATCGATTTTGGTTATTTTGGTCAATTTATGTAAATAAACCTCGATATTGAACATTATTGATGACCAATGTTGGCAAAATGCTAACGTCACTACGAGAACCTTGGCCAACCTAAGTGCCATAGATTGTAGCAAAATAAGAAAGTTGACATTTGCATCTAGTTAAGATCATTAATCTTAAGATATTAAATTTGTTCTTAATATGGGCGAAGAAAAAGGTGTACCCGAAGTTGTTGCTCCTGTTTCAAGACTTCGTTTTCGACGTCAGTTCGGGATCACCCATGCACTTTTTGATTTTCTCAATAGGCAAATCTGGTTAAGCATACGAACCCAATCAAGAGAGAACACCGAAAGATACACAAAAATCCAGAAGAAAAGAACACTTACCAAGAGAACTCATGACACCCTCAGCACATTCTTTGCTATTTCTCTTCGCCTTCATCGAACACCTGATATGGAAATCTGTCACATAATCCCACCAAATCCAGGGCCTTTTGCTCTCATTGGCAACTCTGTGCACACAAAGTTGTCTCAAGTTCTCAAACACCACATCCTTTCCTTGATAACCCTCTCTGAAATTATGTTCCGGATCGTGAGCACAATATCTTCCATGGTTTATACACTGGGACTTGCACTGACTGCTAAAGATAAAGGGTTTAGGACAATACCAAGTTAGGTAATGTGGTGTGAACAAAGTGTAACCTCCCTTTTCAAGTATTTGGGCATGGCCTTTAAAATTCTTTATGAAATTCATCTGCTCGTCGCAACGATCTCCGCATTCATCTGCTAAAGATAAATGGTTTAGGACAATACCGTTTGCAAACGGTATCTAACTTCCACGTCATCTTCTTCAAACGGTGGTTTAACGACGGGGACCATATTGCAAACGGATTAAATGTTGGGAGATTGTATTGTAAGTTTTAAAAGTTGAAGGACCTAAATGCAAACTTCAGAAATGTTCAGTGACCATTACTATACTTTACCCTATATATAATTACTATTCTGAAATGAAATATTTAACACTTTCCAATAACATTTACTATTATAGTATGCAATGATCTGATTTTTGAAATATATCGCTAAACAGCTCGCATAATTATTGTTAATTGAGTTCAAGTTAAAATTCTGTATCCGCACTGATTCTTGCCCGTTTAGCTCCATTAATTCTTTATATCTCTTCGATGCCGTATTTCGCTCAGATTAAATCAAAGATTATTTCAGATGAACTTAAAATATTGCATGATAGATATTGGTCTAGTTTTACGAGTAACAATTTAAAGAAGATGAATTTTACAACCAGCCCTCTCCCGATATTGAAGCTCTACAAATGACAATGGAATCACATTCGACTACAAACACCATTAATGCATTACTAAGAGGAATAGTTTCAAAGAACAAATACGAGCAATTGAAGAAAAGCAACATACACACACCTAGTTTTCAGTTGAACCTTCTGCATTTATCACATTTCCCAACATTAAAAAGCCGCTAGTGAAAAACCAAGACAAAAACATCATCGAAGAAATCCTAACATACGTAAAGATATCCAACACATCACTTGACAAATCGGCCTCTTCCCCACGGCCTTCTTTGCCTCCCACCACCGTCGGCTGGTACATTGCTGTTCTGTTGTGAAGAAAATACCTTCATTCTCTCTTCCTTCATGCTGGCAAACATGGAATCCAATGTTTTAGGCTTTTGCTTTGTTTCCGTGTTCCCTTGTCGCTCTCGTTGCTGCTGGTTATGTTGCTGTTGCTGCAGCGGCCGCCGTGGCTACAAAGTAGATGGTTGCTCACTTAGCATCAATGCATGTGTTACAAGAAATTCATTTAAATGTCAATCCACATTTACTCCCATGACCAAGAACAACCATATTACACCCAGATTGAGAGAAAAATACCTTCACTGCAAAGCCTCCATTTCCAACCCTTCTTTGGAAAGGTGGCGCTCCTATCCTGCACCAGAGGAGAAAAAAACCATGAATGGGTAACAAAAACAATACATAACGAGTTAATTCCAGTGACAAACTAGCTTTCACCCAACATGCCAGCAACCAGCACCAAAATGTTGAGACAGAAGAATCTTACCAAGCATAGGAAGACTATTTATTTCCAGTTAACAGAAACATAAAACAAACAATCTCTAATACAGCTCCTTCAATTTTCTGCAAAATTTGAAAACATTATCATGCATCTAAACCCCCACTCTGGAAATGCATTGCTACCAACGAGAAGCTTCAAATGGAGTATCAGAAGTCAGAACTAGGGAACGCCACATAGGTAGATTCACCACTCCCAACAAACAACGGCACCAATTAGAGCAAACTCCTAAACCTCGGCTTTAGAAGAAAATCGACGCCACTCGAGAAAAGGTAGAGTGTAACAAGTGTCAAATTTACATCAGCTTAAACTTTCAATATTCCCCAACCCAATATTGTTCCAACTTCATTATCTCTAGCTCATATTTCATATATGGCACCGTCAGCAACAAACTATTCACTTCACCAAATATTCATAGCCAATATTTAGCAGGCAAGAGAAACCCTACAAAAGATTAAGCATCAAGAGTAGACTTTAAAAGGGGGCTTTGAGATAGCCAAAAGCTTCCCAACTAGTTAAAACTAGTGATTTTAAACAGAAGGATGTGCAGGCTCCCACCCACTGACTAGAGCCATCAAGGAATCTGAAGCCGCAAAAACTATTTGGATAAGGAGAACAAAATTAATGGTAGAACCAGCAAATGGAACTACAAAAATCCGCCTGTATGAGAACAAACTACCCAATTAACATTTCTAGACATGTTCAGAGTTTGTCAAATTATGTAACCAGCCACCTATATGAATAATGTTAATCTTTTGAGTGTTGCACAATAGAAATCATCACAACCTGGCACCATTTTTTCTCTCTCCAAATCCACCTCCTTCAAACATTATAATCACATTAAACACTTGCTATTGGATGCTTCAATGTCCCACCAAAAAGAGGAACCCAAATCCAAAGTAGGCACCAATTAACTTGTGAACCTTGCACAATATAGATATGAAGCTACTAGCATGCTACTTTGGGTAGTTTGAATATTAAAAATAGCCAAACACTTCAAGATAATCCCACATTCGGCCCTTTCCACAATAAATGTAATCAAACATCATGAGTTCCACACAACAAGCAACTTGAAATAAGTTAACCAGGACCACATTCCAGAGGTCATCAATATTGTGGAAGATCCAAAATTTACCTGCAATGACTCAACGGTAGGAATCAACCATCAGATGGCAGAGATTATATTTTGATTTTAAACACAACTATTCCAGCAATACGAAATCATAGCTTGTCCATAAAGAAACAATTGAATTATTTGACATGTACATACCTTGGTTTGTTCAAATTAGCCACCCTGCTACTATCAAAAGCTCTATTCCGAATTGGAGCAACTGCAGCCCTTCGGGCAGCCTCAGCTGCAAAAGGAAACCCGTTCCCCTGGAAATTAGACCTTCTTTGAGCTAGAGCCCCCTGATTTACATATGTGGGCACACATGAGAATATTATCCGATGTCAGAATGTGCAACCAGAAGAGATGCAAATCTATCAACAAACTCGAAAAAAAAAATCACCTGTCTAAGAGATGCCCGCGAGTCCATGTACTGCCGTACTTTGAAAGCCTTATCTTTAGCAGCATTACTCCCAGGCCTCTGACTTTTATTCTGATCATAAGACGAGCACGGATTGGAATGTCATTCTAAGAACAAGGGACAATAAAAATGTGATTTCTGGATGAAGAACATTCTTACCGGTATTCTTTGTGGCTTCTTGCCCTTGTTTGAAGTATTTTTTGACATTTTTATGATATCATCTAGTCCATAAAAAAGGCAAACTAATCAGAAACATGTTTAAACCCCCCCTTTCAAGAGAACAACTCTAAGTAAGGCACAAACAGTCAAAAGCTCACCCAGAGTCATGTCCATTTTCTTTTCTGTGAGGGCGATCGTTTCACTTGTAAGTGGTTTAGCCGCCATCTGACGAGGTAAACAAGCATTAATCCAACCCAAATAGAAAGTGATAATTAGAAGTAGATCAAAAGGAAATATTTCACATTAAAAACAGACGACTCAATATCAACAGAAAAGAGAAACAAAAAGATGTAGCATCCTAATTTTACACGTATATCGGAAAAAGTTCAATTTTAAAAACCCTAAAATTTCACGAAGTAATCAAACGCAATGAAGAAATCCCTAATTCACGATGTAAACATATAACATAAAAAAAACCTACAGATCACATCAAAATCAAAAAAAAAAGAGAAAAATGAAAAGAAATCAACAAAACAAACAGTACAGAAGCCGATTTGCAGACGAAATACGATAGATTCAACATAAAGGCCAGGAATTGGAGAGAGAAACTTACCGATTTAGATTAAGATAGAAGTAAACGACGATCTTCGATGAGAAAATCAAAACGAATTCAAGGCTTGGTTGAAGCTGGAGATAGGTTTAGGGTTTTCGAAGTGACTTCGAAATAAAGGAGGGCAAAATTTCCTATGCTTAGGATGCTTAGCGATTACGCAGAAAAGAAAACGAGTAAGCAGAACGGATAACCAATTGGTTTTATATAGGGTCGGTGAGATTGGCGGATTTCAAGCTCAACAATTTATCGTTTAATATAATTAGATTTCAAGTCCGAGATTGATTAGGGACCAAGTAATTAAAATCCCGAGTACAGCTCAGCATTAGGAAAAAATTCAATCCCCTAACGTGGTGTCTGTTTATTTGTTTCTAAATATATTTTAAAATTTTAATAAATAAATAATACACTTAATAGATAAGTTTATAACCCACGCATGTAGCTTATCATTAAAGTGATGTATTGAAATGTATCATTAATTAAATTATTTTTATTAAATAAATACAAAAAGGATAAATTATATGTTTAGTATCTACACTATCATTTATTCCATTTTAGTACATAATTGTTTTTAAATCATTAACAATAATGTGATACCACATGCTACGTCAAATTTTTATTTTTTTTATTTCTACATCATTTTCTATTTCTCTGTCAGTACTTTTTAATTAATTTTATCCAACTAATTAAAAAGTAACACGTGTCACTAATTATGAGGATAAAATAAAAGAAAATATTTAGAAATGATAATATTTTATAATCACTTTAGCTTTATAAGAACTTTCAATAGAAATAATATTATTTTTCTTAAGAACTTTCTATAGTTGAATTTACATACGGGAATGGACTTAGGCGGAGGAGGTCACTCCTTAAAAATATAAAATTATCATATATTTTAGATTTTTTCTATGTATTTTCTATTAAAATTGTGTTCTCAAATTTTATAAGTTTAAGTTTAACTTCAACATAAAATCTTATGTTCGTCCCTATTTACATAGTATGCAATATTAATAAAACAAAATAAATTCTCAAACAATATGGTGTTGTTAAAAAGGAAGCTTTTTAAAATTTTAATTTTGATCTTCTAATTATTTTATTTTAATCTTAAAATTATCAAAAATAATTTATATTTCAAATTTTATATTTTAGTCATCGACAAGATATGCCGAAGTTTGTAATATCATTGATAGGGATGACAAATTCGATCTCCCTATAACAACGATCCCATCCGGCCATCTCTCTGATTAATTTTAAATCATCTATTTTTTAAATTTTCTTTGATTTCTTAATTTCGCCTACGTACTACATAAAGCATATCGATTACATTAACGAACGACAAACGTCTCAGCCGACGGCTCCCTCACAAATGAAAAAAAATGACCCGACACTGACTTGGGGACCAACGGAGAACGGGAGGAATATTTTTTTTTTAAATCTATATATTTTTTAAAAGAAAAAAATACAATTATTAATGAAATTTTTTGAATAATAATACTCTTCCTTAGATTCTTACATAAAAAAAATGAAAAAACCCATGAAAATAATCACAATAAATCAAATGGACAACCTCTAATAAAAACGAACAGGCTTCCATTAAAGAAAGAAAGAAGGAATGAATCAGGGAGAATAGTAGCCAAAACTGTTCCCACCAAGGTATTTCAGCTGCAAAGAAACCTGTCTCTCCATCCGAAGTTGTCTATGAAAATTAGCAATGAACATCTCCGCCCTCTTATCCACATCATCCTCCGATTGATAACTCGTCGTCCGAGCCAACCTATTCGAGCAACGACACGAATCATCCCAATCGCTGTCATCGTCGGCGTCAACGCACGCGCTTAACCCCGGCCTATCCGTAAAGCTCAGCTTCCGGGAAACACCGCCGATCATCGAAGCGACTCGCCATCGGTTCGTATCGAAACTCAGCAACAGCTTTATCTTCTTCACGACCCTCCTTAAGCGGCCAAGCAACTCCATGGTGTAAATGTATATGATGAAATTCAATGAAATAATTGTTGGTGCAGGATATGTGTATATATAGGGTTCTCTTACCAGAGTGTTTAAACGAAAAGTAAGGTGTTGGGAAGTCTGCAAGAGAAGAAAACAAAAATGCGTATAAAAATGGAGAACCGTGTCAAGGTGGCTGCGCCAAGCAAGATCAAGGTTAAAAGCATACATGTTTGGTCAAAATTTTGATTCAGTCTAATATAACAATCCAGTTTAAGTATATATATATATATATGTGTGGATAAAATATAAATTTCATCACTACACTTCAATATTACTCTTGCTTTGGTAATTGAACTTTATTTCTTTTTAATTTGATCATTCGATTTTGATATTACTCTTATTTTGATCATACCATCGTTAATTACAAATGGTGTGGTGATATGAAAGTTTACATCAAAATGACGCTGTTTTGGATCCTTACAAAAAATTTACACCAAAATATATTGTTTTGATTACATATAAAATCAAGGATAAAGTACACAAATGGTCCTCGAATTATAGAGCATTTCTTTGTTAAATCTTTCGAGTATTAAAAGTTATAAAAAAGTCATCAATTATAGGATGTTACTTTTTTGAGTCCCCCAATTACAAAAAGTTACAAAACAGTCACTCAACTATTCATATGTTCCAAACTCATCATTTTTCGTTAAAAAATTGACGATATTTGATGTCAAAATAGGTACCTAAACTATTCAACATTTTTTTTTATCTAAGTTCTAAAACATGTTGACTGTGACATTAATTAAAAATATTTTAGGTACTTAGATAAAAAAAATTAAGTACTTTAGATACCTATTTTGACCAAAAAGATAATTTTAGGCACTTATTTTGATAAAAAAATTACTTTATACTTAAATGAAAAAGATGGTATCCTTTAGGTACTTATTTGTTATATAAGCCTAAATTTTAATGGAAAGTGTGAGAATGGGTGTAATTATACGAGTAATAAGATAATGTAATTTTATCATTAATATTATTTTAAAATATAATCTTATATAATTATAATTAATATTACAAAACATGACTCGTATAACAGCTCCAACTGGTTCCTCTATTTTGTGAGCGTAAATTTGAATCTGGAGAAAAAGAGGTTGATAGAACAAGAGAAGATTTGGATATTGATGACAATTACAAAGGTTTTACATCCTAGAGGGCTATACAAGAAGCAGATATGCGCGGCAAAAGAGACATATACATAGCACACACTATTCCTACAATTTGTATCACGGTTATTCACCAGACAACCTTGTTCATCACGGCGACTAATCGATTCTAATCCGATGTTTTACCTGCCGTTGCCACTGCTGGTAGTTGCCGGCCTCTGCTGAAGGAACGTATAACGAATGGCTAACGATTTTCTTTGATTATCGTGCGGATTCGTGAAGCAATCCTGTTAATTATGGTGATTAAATGGTGCTAATCTGAGGTATGACCACCTGCGGCCCCCGCTGCTGTCGTTCGTTGCCGTGTTCTGGTGGAGGAACCGGTAACGAATGTCGATCGGTTTTCTCGGATTAACCCAGTACTGTGACAACAGTTGAAGGTCGATGGTCTAGTAGATTGTCCATTTGTTGCCACTGCAGTCATTGAACAACTTGTTCAATTCAGTATCCTCTACAACTTATATGTAACAAAATCATGATCAGAAATGAAAGTGTTAACTACATCTCTAACCTGGACTTTTCTTGGTCTTCGCGTTACTGTTTTTCTTCGTGACTACAACTTTATTTTCTGGAATCTTGGTGGAAATTCGTCTCTTGGGCGGTGTACAAAATCGGATCGATTTCCTTTACAGGACCTCGCTGTAGACTGACCGAACATCCCAGTAAACCGACTTGGTATCCGAACCACGGGATTTTGCAAAAGAACCAACAGACGTTCTATCACTTGTGCCTGCCAATGGTTCCTCTAATATAGAAACATTGTCATCTCTGCAACTCGAGGTCCGTTCGCTCGTTAACTCGCCGTTTTTATCCCCTGTGATCATAATAGTTCGGTCTTCTCGGCAAGCCGGTACGCAAACATTTGAAATGGGATTTGTGCAACTGAAAGTGGATCGAGAGTCCCATTTGCAGTGGATTTTTTCGCAAACCATGACTCTGTCTCACAATAATCTGCAATAGGACATTGCATTTCGGGATGATCATGATCAGGGTTCATCACTATGAACTTCTTGATGTAGCGCAAAATCCGACAAACAGATGAGAAACTCGGACGCTGATTCGGATCCGTACGCCAACACCATTTCGTTAAGTTGATAAGATATTTCGGTGCTGTGCAGGGAAAAAGAGGCCTCTCCCCTGCAATGATACTTCTACTCATCTTCTCTCCATGTCCTTCGAAAGGCGGTTTCCTGGACAAGAGCTCAAAGAAAAGCATCGCAAAACTGTACACATCTGCCTTCTCGGAGTACTTCGAAATCGAGGAGCCGATAAATAGTTTCTCTTGCTCTAACAGAACTTCTGGAGCATACCATATGCTGGGGTTGGGTTCATACCTCCTCGGCGACGAGTTCGGGGACGAAAGAGGCTTGATATCGGATAAACCGTAGCTCGAGATCTTCAAATGGAAACAACCATCGGTGCTGTTCCTATCTCTTAGATAAATGTTAGTAGGGTTAAGCTCTCCATGATAAATCTTCTTTGAATGCAGATATTCCATTCCTCTTGCAATCTGCAACATAAGATCAACCACAACATGAAGAGGGAACACGATCCGCCTTCTCGAACCGTAATTCTCCTTCAAATAACAACCGAGATCCTTGTTCACCGACTCAAGAACAAGCATAACTTCTTTCTTATCTTCATCGTGAAATCCACAAAGGTGTTTCAGTATATTCGGATGAGTAAGTGAAAGCAACGTAGAGATTTCGAAACTTGACGGCTCAACATCCCAAAAGAAGTTCCTCATCAAAAAGCTCTCTCCCAACCATTGGATTTCCTTATATTGTCCCCTTAATCTTCGCCTTACTTGGTAGTTCTCTCCATACAAGATTGAACTAGGGAAGAGTTTACCATTATAAGCCTCCGATCCGCTAATTTTCCGAATCAACGATCCAGTGTACCATCGATCTTCCCTCCACGCGCTCTCGAACCGGCTACAGATCTCTCGAGGGATCAAGTACTGCCTTCCGAACTGAAACTGAAAGAGCTTCGGATCAAGTATTTCCTAGCAAGCATGACTCTCCTCCTTTGTATCTCATCCCGGTTGATCCCGGCGATCTCTCCGGCCATCTCGATGGCCTCGATGACCGCCGGAAAATGAGAGAGCAAATTGTGGATGTGATGGTCAACGGAGTCCTTGTTTTGATGGAGATTGAGTGCCTTAACCCACCAATCTCTTTTGTCCATACATTGTCTCACATACGATTCTCCTTCTTTAAAGATCTTTTGAAGCTCTCGCAAAGGGTTCTCGAGGGAACTCCATTGGGTGTTCTTCCCTTCGAGTTTCAAGTTCAATCGGATCTCTTCGGCGACTACATCGAAAGCCAGACAGAAGATGTCTAATAACAGACAACACTGTCGTCGATTGATCTGAAACTCGTCTTGTAAGACAATGAGAGCTCTTAAACTTCCCAAAACCTCACCGATTTGTCTGAATTCATCCATTGATGTGCTGTCCGAGTTCTGGAAATTAAAACACCAGAATCAAACAGCTCCAAATCTCTTCTGATCTGCAAAAAATCATTTTATAAACAATTTAATAATGAAAATGGAAACCAGAAAGGGATGACAAAATGAAATGAAAGCTGACCGTTTCAAACCATCCATCCGTCGAACAACACCTGAAACCAATAACCCAGATTCTGTTGCCTAATTTGATTTCCTTGGAATTTCAGAAAACGAAAATTTTAGGGAAAAACAGAAACCATCAAAGCAAAGCAACCTCCCAAATATATATATATAGTATATTTTGTAACTATGACCTAGTTAAAATAAAAAAAAAGTAATATAATATCTATATTTTGATAAAAACAATTAATATAGGAGTATATATATTTTTTAAAAAAATAATCAATGTAATACTAGAAATATTATTTTGAATTTTATTATAATGCTTTAAGTTAACAATGTTTATAAATAATAGACCAACTGAAACATTATTATTTTTTGTTTGACGCTTCTTTGTTTCGCATATGATTCTCTTTTTCTCCAAAGGTTCCCTTGAGTATATTGTTGGGATTCAGAGTGTTCTACAATGCTTTTATGAGATGTCTGGTCTTCAACTAAATGCGGCCAAATGCGAGCTCTTTTCTTCTGGGGTGTCGGAGGGTGAGTTGGAGGCTATTAGGAATTGCTCTGGTTTCAAGGCTGGCGTTTTGCCTATTCATTATTTGGGTGTGCCGCTCGTATCTAGGAAGCAGTGTTTTGAAAATCGGACGTACCAGCCGGTTTAACCGGTTCAATCGGGAACCGTTGTCTTATCCGGTTCATTCTATCCCGGTTAAATCGGTTCTAGTGACAGTAAAGAAACGTTCGAATCGGCTTTGAACCGCTTGAACCGGACCGGATCGTGAACCGGTTAAACCTAATTTTTTTTGATTTTTTATTAAATGTTTTTAGTATTTTTATTTAATTTTTAAATAATTATGACGTCGTCCGGTTCTTACGATAGGTCTGACCGGTTCGACTAATGAACTGGGAGCTCAGCCGGTTCGCTGATCGATCCGATTCTGAAAAACATGCTAGGAAGTTGTCAGAGCACGACTGTCAGGCTTTGATTGATAGTATAAGGCGTAGGACTGGTCAAGCAGGAATCTGAGCTTTGCTGGTAGGCTTCAATTGATACACTGTCACATAACTAATAATTGTCGACATGGTTACAAAAAATATTTAATCAAACCAACAACAATAATAAATTAATAGCAACACCAATTGGATTAAACTTAATTGATGAAAGTGTGTTATTTTGCTATCAGATGAATATATAGTTAGATTGTATGATATATATTTATAATTTTATTTCATATACAATCTTTAATTGAATTGAAAATTAAAATAATATTATTTTAAATAATAGTAGCTAATATAATTATAATTTTTTTATATAAATTTTAAATAAAACAATTAAAAGTCATTTTTAAAATTAAATGTTCAAAACAAAACACAACAGTAATATGAATCTATAAATTAATTCTTCATATACATATTCGATCGAATAATTATTATAAATATAATTCTAAATAAAAAAATTATAAATTAACTGAGCAAGGTGACGAACTGTTGGGAGTGAGGCCCAGTTTGGGCCCAAGACTGAGGAGGAGCCGCCGCACACGTCGAGCGTCAGCCATCTTTTTCATTCCCATGTTTGCAAATGAAAAACGAACTTATCGTTTCAATGACATAATAATCAAAGTTAGTGCGGACGACGTAATTATTTTTCTCTATGAAATATACACATTAATCATTATGCTTTTTCTCGCATTTTAATACTCGACGTTTTATTTTTAGGTTAAAAAGATTAATATTTAAAGTGTTGTTCATGCGTTAACTAATGATTTCAATCTATAAATGATATTTTTTACCCCCAAAATAAAATATTTGACTAAAATATTTTGAAAAATAACGATCAAAATGATTATTTTAATAAACATTAAAAAAGTTAATTTTGATATTATTTCTTTTAAAAACATAATAGTTTTGCGTAGTTTTTTGTCCTCAACTAATCAAAGCTAAGTTGAAGTCCCAATCAAATTGGGTGGATTTGAGTGGTTGAAACCCTAAATCCCCAATTATTTGAAAATTCAACGTTGGGGGGCTTAAAGGTGGCCATGGATACAAATATCTCACTTCATAAACTCTAAAAAGGATTGACAACTGCTGCTCAGGTTCTGTCCACACTTGGTTCTGCTCAAAAAACAATTCTGTAATTAAAACAATAATTTAAACAATTTATATGTAATGTTAGTTATTGTCAATAATTCATTATGGCCCAAAGCTGTCAGAAGCAATCGGATTTTTAAATAAAATTTAGTATTTTTTCCAGAAAAATTTACAGCATCGCAGTGTTTTTCATCTGCCTCTTTTAAAGTTTTACTTTTAAAAAATATTTAAAATTTATACGAATGACAATTATAAAAATTAAATTATGCCATTTGATAATTATATTTTTAAAGGTTATTAAAAATTAATAGTTAAAATTAGTTATAATATTTACTTGTTTTACAAATTTTAATTTCAAGATTTTATTTAATTCAACGTTAATTTAAAGCTTCAATTGATAAATTTTTTTAATTCAACAATTCAATCAGATTAAATAAATATTTAAAAGTTGACGGCTCTATTATTTTAATATATTTTTTTACAATTATCGAACAGGCACTTGCGTAGTAGAAGAATACGTGCCGTAACAAAATATGAGGAACATCAAACGACATAGCATACAACACGTAGCCAAACACGTCGTCACGGAGAAATTTTAATAGTCTTACTTTTACTAAATATACTAATATTAACATTTTTAAACAATTAAATAATATCATAAAAAAAAACAGCCGATACTTTCAGTTACCGCCGATCCAAAAATAGCCATAGAATCGGCGGAGAAACACTCTCAAACTGCCACCACGGGATCCGACCCGAACAAATCCCCAATATCTTGGAATTGATCATCGACACGTTTCAACCTCGACAAACCCCCGAATCCGATCTCGAAATCACCATCCGAATTAAAAAACCCGTACCCGAAATTATCTTTCGGCAAAGAGTCGTGTAAGCTCGTATTATCATCGAACAAACCCGGCACTGAGCTGAATATATCATTAGAAGACGATTGGTCGGAGAAATTAGAGAATTTTTCTCCCGATATGAAGCAAGCCTCTTCAACGACATCACGGTGTTCGCTCCCGGATTTTCGAGGCAATTTGACGCTTTGCAAATCGCTGCCGTCTGCGAAGGAAAACGACGGGAAACGGAGGACGGAAGTCGGAGAGTAGAGGTTTGCGTTGTGTGAGTCTTCGCCTGAGTTGTAGTCTGAGCTGGATAACGGTTTTTGGCTGTTTTCGACTTGGATCGTTTTTCCTTTGGGAATCGAGAAGTTCGTGAGCGCGTCGGGTCCATGTAATTCAATAGACGCGTTGTCATATACCCTCGCTGCTTCCTCGGCTGTATCATAGGTACCTAACCATCGCCGTACACGTCTCTGTGGATCCCTGATCTCAGCCGCCCATTTCCCCCAAGGCCGTTGCCTTACACCTCTGTACTTCTTACCGGCCGGTAACGGTTTAACTTTCACCGCCGGCTTCTTTCGTGAACTCTTCGACAACGACGATTTACTCCTCGAAACGGTGTCGCTTTTGACGGAACATGATGACTTGATAGTTATCTCGTTGACGTATTTCTTCACTCTGTTTCGAGAACAACATCGGCTTGCTTGTTCTTCTTCGTCGCCGGAGGAATCAGTGGCGTCGGCATCTGTAACTGAAATCCGAACAACCTGATGCTTCATTTCCGGCTGGTTTTCGAGTCCGATATCTGAAAGGAGCGTCGTTTGATATCGGTGTTCAGTGTATTTGATCGAAGGAAGGACGAAACAATCCATTTTCTTCTTCATTTGGGATTCTCTGGGATTTTTTTCAGATTCTTTCACCTCTTCACATTGAGATCGGAGAGTGAACAGTGAAGTACGAAGGGAGTGGAATTAAAAAGAAAAGAAGCAAAGAAAATATTCCTTTTGAGACCAGACACGAGGAGAATAAAGGGTTGAAAAGAGAAAGAACACGTTAAAGATAAGCATGGAAACGAAATTTTAAAAAATCCGCCATTAATCCCCCCTTCAAAGGTTTACTCAAAAAGTTCATCAAACCGCAAGAAATTTCAAGGAAAGTGAACCCAATCAGAAAGTGGTGCGGAGAAAAGCACCAGAAAATTGTTGAAAGAGAGTAAACCCCAGACAAAAGAAAAGGAGATAATGCAAAAGATAGCCGCAATAACACTTTCTTTACTCACTCAAACAGAGCACGGCTTTGCTATTTCTGGGTAGCTTTCGAATCTAAAGTCTGATAAGAGACTAAGAATCCAACTTTCTGATGATGCTTTATTTCTGATGATGCTTTATTCCCAGAAAATCAAAAGAAAACAATTAAAAAAGAACCCGAAAATGATGAGAGAATAAAGAAGACTTCTTTTGTGAAAGGAGAATGAAATCATAAGAGTTTTTTTTTTTTTTTTTGAAGTGTAAATGGAAAGTTTTAGCTATTTTATAGGATCCCAAAACCCGTAATTGGTTCACCCGGTTCAACTAAATCCACAAATATCGTTTTTTAATGATTTTCACTGGATTTGGGTATATCGGCGAGATTGACGTTCCGGTTACCGGAGATATTTAACGAGGCGCCGCGTAAGATGGGTATTTGGGATACCGACACGTGGATGTGGTCCCGAGAAAACAGGCCAAGAGGGAAGGTGATTGAACCGGAGAATGCTGACTAGGGCAAAATATTTCATCTTGAAATCTGGGATTTACGTCACGTGACAGTGGACACTGAGGTTAGTCCTCTGCCTTCAATTAAAAATTCGCTTTGCGATAGTTGAAAATCGCGTTGCGATTTTGTTTCTTAAGAATTTTCTCTAAAAATATATTATCCGTGCGGACGTGTCGAAGACACGTATTACCACGACCACGACCACGACCCGAGACGAGACGAGACGAGACGAGACGGGACGGCGACGGCGGCGCGCGAGAGTCTCCCTTGTTCTCTATCACTCAACAAGGAAGTGGGAAAGCCAAGCCTTAAATACCATTCCCAATAGTGTTTCCAATACAATGTGGGATTGAGCATTACCAACACTTGTTTCCAATACAATGTGATTATTCAGGAAACAATTAACAATCATGCACCTTAAAACAACTGAATCAGCAACCAATTACATTAGTATTATACGATTAAATATGTCATAATTAAAAGTCAATCTACAATCAATCGCGATTATTGCAATTTTAAGCAAAACATTCAAAAATAATATCACTATTTAAGGCTCAATCCCACATAGTATTGGGAACAAGTGTTGGTAATGCTCAAATCCCACATAGTATTGGAAACACTACTGGGAATGGTATTTAAGGCTTGGCTTTCCCACTTCCTTGTTGAGTGATAGAGAACAAGGGGACTCTCGCGCACCGCCGCCGCCGCCGTCCGTCTCGTCTCGTCTCGTCTCGTCTCGTCTCGGGTCGTGTCGTGGTCGTGGTCGTGGTAATACGTGTCTTCGACACGTCCAGATCACACATTGCATCGTTTGAACAAATTAATTAGCAAAATATACTCAACTTATTTCAAGTTTCTATGTCGTTAAAATGCCGTACCAGATCACACCACTTCGACCAAGTGGTACTTTCCACGCTCATTCTACGCATATGTATTCTTGAAAATAAAATCGAAAATCAAATATTTCATACATAGATACAAATATATAATGAGAATAAATGTAATTGGAAATACAAATATGATTTTAAGGTACCAAAATAAAAATAATAAAAACCTAAAGGAATAAATAACAAATAAAACAAATAATCCAGGGCCAAGAACAAAATATTAAACAGTATGCAAATCATACACAAATAAGATTAGGGACCAAGATGAAAATAATAGAAACTTAAAAGGCTAAACAATAATTATAAATAAAGAAGAGCCCAGATAGCAAACATTAAATAATACATGAACCAGAAATATAAATAACCCATAAATAATACTTAGGACTAGATTGCATTAAAATATAAACATGAAGGCTGAATAAAAAATTAAACCAAAAGTAAAACAGTGACCAAAATGAAAGATTTACAAATGCTGCTGTCAAATTCGAACATAAAAAAACATACCATATGATCAGTGACTAAAATGTAAGATACATAAATATCATATCCAAATTCGAACGTTCCCAAAAAATAAGCAATACACAAAAACCCGTGACTAAATTGAAATAATTATAAATATTGGGACCAAAGTCACATATAACCAGAATAGCATAACAAGTAATAGCAGGACTAAAATGTAAGGAAGGAAAAATAAAGGCTCGAAATCAAATAATATATAACTTCATTATATGGGTTAATAATTATATTACAAAGCGCGGGGGACTAAACGTGTAGTTAACCCAAATGATGAAATTACAGATTGGTCCCCATTGAAACTACGTCGTTTCGTGGGAGATGTATAACCCTAAGCCTAAAGCTTTCTCATTTCATCTTTCTCATTTGCTTCTCTATTCAGCCAAAGCAGAGAAGAGAGAGATTAGAAATCTCTCAACCCCTCCTCACCGGGGAAGGGAAACAGCGCACGGCGGCGCCGGTGACCGGAGGAAGTCAAAGGGACCCCAAAATGATCACCTCCTCTCCCTATACTAGAAAAAACGCCTTACTCGACCTAAAACCAACCCTAAATCCCTAGATCTAGGTAGTTACCTTCGAAGGAAACAAAGAGCACGGTGACCTTCAAGCTTCCACGGCCTCAAACCACGGTGAGATACCTCTCTCTCTATTTTTATTTCATTTTTGTTGTAGTTTCGGATGAGTTTTTATTTTTTCAAACCGATTCTCTCCTTTTTTTTTTTCACCCGAATGACCCTTTTTTTTTGTTATCACCCCTTTTTTTTTCTCTCTGAACCCGAATGCTCCCCGTTTTTCCCTCTGTTCTCTGCTCTTCACACCCTTGAATACCCCCTCTTGTCTGGTTGCATGCTTGATTTATTAGGGGTTTTGAATGAAATCATGAAGCCTACGGGGTATGGGGATTGTTTCTCTGATTTGGTACGATTGAATCCCGAAAAAATCGGGATTTAGAATGATATTTTAATGGGTTTTAGATTTGATATATTTTTTTTGACTGATTTGGGCACTGTGGATGACGTTCAGTTACTGTTTGGAAGCTGAATGACAACAGCGGTGGCTTGGGATCGTCGGCGGCACTCACTCGGCTGAGAGGCTAAAAGGCGACGACGGCTGAGCTTCAATTTAGGGTTTAAAACCCTAACTAGGGTCCCTTTGGACCGTTGGATCAAATCTGATCCAACGGCTGAAATCTCGAGCGGCTGGTGCCTTAGAGTGAAACCCTAACCGGGTATGGGTCAACTTGTTGGGCTTGGATGGGTCGAATCCGGAGCAGCTGGGCCTGATTCAGGTCAAGTATTGTAATTGGGTTGACTGGGTTGATGTACTGGGCCTCAAAAATTAGCCTGCAAAAAATAATAATAATAATAATTAATAAACATAATAATAATAACAATAATAATAATAATTAAAATTAGATAGAAAAGACCCGGACAAAAACGGGTGTCTACAGCTGCCCCTCTTTGCACATTCTTGTGTTAACAAGAATAGGGCAAAGACGACAAGACATCACGTTTTTGTCTGGTTCTCTCCCTTTTAAACTTAGAAATTGGATAATGTTGGTTGTTGGGGACGACACTGCTCATACGTGATGAAGAGTTCGGGTCGTCTAAGGGTGACCCGGTTCCTACGTGATGAGGAGATTTGGTCGGTGGATGACACGGCTTATACGTGATGAAGAGTTTTGGCCATCTTTAGGAAGGTGATAACACGGTTCCTACGTGATGAGGACGGTTGGTTATCTAGGGGTGAAACGGCTCCTACGTGATGAGGAGATTTGGTCGGGGGATGACACGGCTCATACGTGATGAAGAGTTCTGGCCATCTTTAGGAAGGTGATAACACGGTTCCTACGTGATGAGGACGGCTGGTTATCTATGGTTGACACGGCTCCTACGTGATGAGGAGATCTGGTCTGGGGATGACACGATTCCTACATGATGAGGACGGCTGGCCATCTTTAGGAGTTATGGTTTCAAGAGAAACCAAATTAAAGATTTGTTTCAAAAGAAACAAACCCAAAGATTCGTTTCAAGAAAAACAAACTCAAAGATGATGTGTTTCAAAAGCAACTGTCTCGAAATAGACAAAATTCTTTTCAAGGGAAATGACTCAAAGATGATTTAAAGGAAATTGTCTCAAGAAAATTTGTTTTTAAGGGAAATGTTCTCAAAGATCGGGGTTTCATTGAAAACTGTCTCAAATGAGACAAAATTCGTTTCAAGAGAAACGATCTCAAAGATGTTTGCTTTGTTTCAAGGGAAACATACTCAAAGATGGTAACTTTTGTTTCCAAAGAAACAAACTCAAAGATTTTTTCCAAAAGAAACTGTATCAAGAGATAAAACCTTGTTTCCAGAGAAACAAACTCAAAGATGATCTTGTTTTAAGAGAAAATGTTTCAAGAGACAAAATTCGTTTCAAGGGAAACGACTCAAAGATAGTTTTATTTTAAGAGAAACAAACTTAAAGATTTTGTATTTCTAGAAAAACTGTCTCAAGGGAGACAAAATTTGTTTTAATAGAAACGATCTCAAAAATGGGTATTTTCAAAAGAAACAGACTCAAAGATGGATTACATCTTAAGTGAAACCAAATTTGTTTCAAATGAAACAATCTCAAAAGTTAGTTTTTCATTTGAAACTGTCTCAAGAGAGACAAAATTTGTTTTCAAAGAAATAGACTCAAAGATGATTTTGTTAAGATAAACAAACTGAAAGATTTTTTTTAAAGGAACAAACTCAAAGATTTGTTTCAAGAGAAACTGTCTCATTTTAAGAGAAAAGACTCGAAGATTTTTTCAAAAGAAGTTGTCTTAAGAGAGACAAAATTTTGTTTCCAAAGAAACAGACTCAAAGATTTTTGTTTCAAGAGAAACTGTCTCACAAGAGACAAAAATCGTTTTAAGAGAAAAAGATTCAAAGATTGTCGATTTTATTTCTAGGGAAACAATCTCAAAGGTGTTTATTTTGTTTCAAATACAACAAATTTAAATTTGTATCTCATAGAAAAAATGTCTCAAGCGAGACGAAATTTGTTTTGAAATAAACAACAATCTCAAGTGAGATTAATTTTGTTTCAAGTGAAGCAAATTCAAAATTTGTTTTCAAAGGAAAAAAATGTCCCAAGCGAGACGAAATTTGTTTTAAAAAAACAACAATCTCAAGTGAGATTAATTTTGTTTCAAGTGAAGCAAATTCAAAATTTGTATCTCAAAGGAAAAATGTCTCAAGCGAGACGAAATTTGTTTTCAGATAAATTGTCTTAAGTGAGACAAAATTTGTTTTTCAAGAACTGTCTCAAGCGAGACAAAATTTGTTTTCGAAGGAAACTACCT